ACACACACACACACACACACTTACCCTTGAGAAGTCATAATGTGGCTCGTACTGTCCTCCAACTCCATAGTTTGCAACCTGTTCAGCATTTGACAAAGATTATTTACATATGAAACTAAAATGATTTAAAACTAATTGGCAAACTAAAGGGTATTTGTGCAAACTGATAATATGGTGAATACGGATTTATATTTAGATATGATGACTTATGTCTTTTCTAAGATTTGAACTTTTGAACTTTGCAAATACACTTAAAACCACAGAAACAGGCAAACCTAATTTACTAATGCAGAAAATATTCATCTGATTCATTGTGGGTCAAGAATCTAATCAGTGCAGGTTAAATTGATAATTATTGATATATTGTTCACAACATTAACTGGAATGGGGACAATTCTTTGGCAGAAAGTCATTCGAGGACACACTGCTGCTGAGGATTAAGAGGCTCACAGTTCAGACACACTATGTCAAGCTAAATGATTTGAATCAATTCGTCCACTGTTGTTCTTATTTTTGTGTTATTGGGATATTTTGCACAGCTGTTTAAGTATTTCAGTGTATTTCTGTGGTGTTAATTACATTACCTGAAGTAGCTCTGCAGTGTCGACTGCGAGACCTGTGATGTCTTGTATTCTTTGATTGACTCTGAAAATAACCGGATCATCCTCTTCCTCCAACCATGCACTGAAAAAAACAAATGCATATGAGCATGTAGTAGCGTTACACAGTAAATGGTTGAAATATCTTGGTTTACAAATGAGAAACTGTAAAGAATTATGAATGAAAATATTGTATTTATATTCATCATAAAAATATAAATAGTACAAATGTATAATACTGAGTTACCTTTTTGATACTCTGTAGTTGGCTGTGGTCAGGACTCCTGTTTTGGGATCACGAACGGTGGCCCTGGCGAGCTTAAAAGAAATAAGCACACAGATAAAGCAAGTAGTATTGGTATTAATAAACTGTATCATTACTATCATCTCGCTATTAAAAAAACATGACTTTTTATTAGTTTTATGGTTTGAGTGCAGTTACTCACCCTGGGTTTAGCAAGCTCCTTAATCTTCTCAATCTCTTCGTCTGACAGGACATTCAGGTAGCGCACGATGTGGGGGCTGTCCCACTCGTCCTCCTCCTTCACGGGCTTCAGCAGGAGACGAGGGTTCTGCTTCCCATCCTGGTAGCGACAGAACAAACGGCTCTGCCTCGCTTCGTTCTGGTGAAATAAGGAAATAACAAACCCTCTTTTCAACATGAAAAGTTAGTATAGGGAAAAAAGGCAAAAAATATTTAAACATTTACTCATCATATTGGGAGAGAATTGAGGTTGAGGAGTTAGAAATTAGTTTTTACTGCCCTCTGGTGGCAAAATGTAGTTTCACAGAAAGTGAGGTGAGTGGTTTTAAATACAGACCCTTTTTTATTTCTAACTAGTATTGTTATTATGATTATTGACAATAGCAATAAATAGCTTGATAACACCATTAGACCATTTTGTTCATCAGCATATCAATTTGTTTTATGAATGTATATGTTTAAATTAAATAATGATGATTGAAAAATAATTAAATATCACTTGGTCATAAGGATCATGATGATTTGTAATCAGTGTCACTTATCAATAACCTGAACCGAGTCATGTGAACAATTAATATCCTGACAGTCTTTCTGCTACTGGTCTAAACATTACATCCCACCTCGTTCCCAACATGCCTTCATTTATGGCGTCTCACCATTTGGAGCCCCTCTCCTCTGCAGAGCGCCTCATAGATCTCCCTCTCTGGGAGATGGTCTTTGGGTCTGCTGTAGGTTCCCAGCTGGATGGGCTCCTCAGAGGCCGGCTGCTGCTCCTGGTTCAACGTGTTCATCTGCTTGAACAGCAACCGCTCAAAATAACGGAGGTTTCCTCCTGCCCTCTGGTGGTTGGCATCTGTAAGTACAAGAAAATGTAGAACTTGAACTAAGAAGTAGGTTAACCTGTAGTCTTGATATATATACTCACCATTCACCAGTCTCATACCTGTGCATGCTACATCTGCACGAACACAATTAATTTCACAAGTGAACAGGATCACCACAGCTCTACGAAACGATGGCATGCAGCTAAACACACAGTTCCTGATGCGGACACCAAAGTAACAGTTAGAAACCACCGGCCCTTTCGTCTGGAGGGACTACACCCTGCTGCTCTGGCAACCGCTGCAGTGAGAGGAGGGTGGACTGTTGTGATTAGTAAAACAGCAAGAAGACAACCCATGAATTACCCCACTGTGGGGGAATGTGGTCGCACTGGTCAGCCAACTGGTGTCTGCATGTGTTGTGGGAGGCAACTGAAAAAATCATAAGTGCTTCTTAATTACATGTTGAATGTTTTTTTTAGTTTCTCAAAAGTCGATGGCAAGAACCCATTCACCCATCACATATAGCAACAAGAAATGATCATCTAAATCTCTCTTGACATCTTCAGCTGTGTTTTTTCACCACTTTTCCATCTGGATATATGTTTTCTTTTTGTTGGTTTCATTTTTGCATCTGTGTCGCTTGTCAGAAACATCCTCAACACACCAGCTCCTATGAGGTGAATCCAGAAGGTGATCTCCTAGTGTATTCTCATATCGGCTCCTTCGGACTTCCTGCAGACTCTACACTTGGGGGCTGGCCTGAGAAATGAGTTTCTCTGACATTTGCGTTCACATATACAGCTTCAGACGTTTCCCGTCCAGCAGCCACGTTGTAAAGTACTTAAAAAACTTACTGAAGGATCATTTATTTTGGGACCTGTTAGGACACACACTAAATGCACTTGAGACCATGCGCCTCGACCGTTAAACGTGAGTCCTGTGTCTAATGCATTAGACAATTGCTCATGCTGCACCTTACCAATAGCCACCAGGCGGCGGGTCAGCTCGATGGCTCGAGGCAGGTCTCCCATTTGGTAGACGGAGTAGCTGAGGTAGTCCAAAATGTCCGCCTTGGAGACCACAGCTTCCTCGCCCGCATCCAGCTGCTTCAAGGACTGCTGCATCCACAGCACAGCATGATAATAGTCTGCATCGTTATAGGCAGTTTTCCCCATGTCGTAGCAGTCATCCACCGTCAGTATGGCATTGGGATGCATTCCTGTGAGAGGATTCACTGTTAAACACTGATCATCGTACTGTGCTGCTGGTGAAACCCTCTTTGGTTATAAACAAGGAGAAGATGTTTCAGCGAATATTGCAAACAATATCTGAATGGAAAAAAAAAAAACAGATAACAGATAGTATTTTTTTAAACAAGCTAATCAACACACCCACACATTTCAATTCTCTGTAACATTTTCTGCATTACTATTCATTTCTGCGCCTTAATTGTTATTTGCTTAGGTGCATCTCAAGTGACTACTTATAATCTTTTACCATTTATAGCCCCCATGTAAACAATTTGAGGGTTTCTAAATTCTGTGTTTCCTTGTAATACAAAACACCCCCATGGTGAGTCAGTGCTGTTTAACACAGTAGATCTGTGAATAGTTCAGTAATTATACCCTAACCCACATTCTAACTTAATCTTCAATCCGACCATGACCCAGAACCAAAGTAATGACTCTAAATTAACCTTGTACTCCAACCCCACCTTTAACTAGCAGCAACGCCAACTTTGAATTCAACCCCAAAATCTTGAAGACCTATCAACATGACTTCATTCTGTTAGACGTCCAAAACTAAAATACATTTTCACAAGAAGCAAAAACACAAATATACAAGTCAAACAAAATCACTATTGGTGGTTGCACTTTTTCTTTCCCTCTTTGTTTTATTAATGTGCGCACTACTCCACCCTTTTCAATAGTTTCATTAATTGTATTTAATCACCTGGCAGCTTTCCTCTAGAGAAGGCCTCAGAATCCAGTTGATACGTGTCCTGAAGACGCATCAACGCCTTGGCTGCACCCGTCTCATCCTCCTCATCTGGGAAGTACTGTCTGTGTATGGACATGTTGGAAATGAACCCTGAGGAGAAAGTGAGAAGTTTTGATTTTGTGGACTTTTTATTCATGATGAATAAAAACAGAAAAGTGTAAGTGAATGATTGAATCACCAAACCAACCAAATTAACTCAGCAACTTTTAGCCTGATCTGAAGAAATCCTGTTCAAGAATGACTTAAACATACTTTGCGAGGCCACCATGACCTTTGACCTTTGGCTACCAAACTCAATTAAATTGAGTCCAAGTGAATGTTTGGTCCAAATGTTACAGGATTTGTTGATGACGTTCCAGAGATATCACCTTCACAAGGCAAAACATGTGTTTAATCGAATCAGTTCCTCCTTAAGTCAAAGTGAATATATATGAAAAGTCTGTTATGTGATTAGTCCCAAATGCAAAATGATGATGATTCAATAGACAACCTTAATATCGGTTTAACACGCAGACAGCAAAAAATTTAGTGACACAGCAGTTCTAGACTTCTGTGTTCTGGCCTCAGAAAGATCTGAATGACCAGTATCATCCTCACTCTAGTAAGAAACTCCCAAAGGCAGATTTGACTATTTTCTTTATTACTCTCAATGACTTGTTTGTGCTTATTCAGTAGGAATATATTAACCTGGTTTTTTTATATAATGTACGACGAGCAAAGGTCCAAATTCAGTTTCTTTTTCACTCAGTGTCACTTTGTCTTTTAACTTGCTTCACTGTGATGTGAAAACATGTTTTGCTGAGAAATAGGATCCAATCTAATCGATAAAATGGCTTCAAACAACACAATCTGCTGATGTAAAGTAACAATACAAACATTAGATTAAATCATACTGCACTGTCCACTTACGTTTATAAGGTTAACATCCATTCTTTCCACTCGCTCTGTTACTCATTGCCACGTACACAGATTTACTTGAGCACACTCATGCTCAGTTAATTTATCTCACACAGATACAGACCCGAGTCTAAACATGCGCTCATTTCCAAACACACAGACGCAAAGGGAGAACATGGCCAAAACACGCAGAGATGAGGAACAGATGCTGCAGCGACATGACTAACTCTATACTCCCTCCGCTGATGTGCGGAGCAGCAAAAACTTCCACATTGCAGTCGACGCTTTAATCGCTCTGCTCACATCGGCTCTGCATTTTTTATCTGACCGCTCGCTCTCCGCTTTTGCCCAGAGACGCCTCATAAAAAAGACCAAAAAAAAAAGTGGTGAATGCTTCCCTTTCAGATGCACTGTGCCACATGAAGGGATATTTTAAGGTGGAATTAATGCAAAGTCAGTGGGATGGCAAAAACAAAGGGGAACGGATGCAGATTTAGCCGAGGCAGCATAAAATGATGCAAATGCACATTTGATTGGATTGAGATATTTTCGACTTTTGCATCTGTTTAATGTAGACAGAGAGGAAAGAAGGAACAAGTCAGAAAAACATAATATAAGGTGTTTTGTATGCTTTGGTCTGCGCTGTGGAATTCATACATCCAGTACAAATATCTGTGTACTCCTATGTGCCACAATCATACCAGCATGCAGCCGAAATTACACAGACATGTGGTATCATAACTAATCACGCACAAAACATTACAAGCAAAGCTATATCCCAGCATGCTTGTCCAGTCTTCATTCACCCACATGCTGTTGTGGAGAGACTTTCTCACCATCAGAGGGGTTCTGCAGCACCAGGCTCTCCAGCTCAGACCACTCCGTGTTGAGTCTCTTCATCAGTTTGTAGGCGTTCACTGGGTGGGCCAGGTAGCCCTCTGGATCAGAGGTGGACACTCGGGTCAGAGCGTCCAGTTTCTTGGCCCAACTAAGAGACAGGACAAACAGACACTTTAAAAACTAAATCAAAACTGTCCCAGTGCTTTGTGATAAACCTCCACAGCTCTAAACACTGAATGGTTACAGGACTGTTAACATAAAGAAATCGCTTATTACTAATGGAATAGATATGCATATAGATATATGTTTAATTTTACTTCTCAGGCAGGTTATGAAACAGATATTCCAAATGTTTATAAAATGTGTCAGATATGTTGAGATGTTTTATATGTGTTGAGTTTTTTACTACATTAACTAAAACATGGGGGGAGTGGTTAAGTAAGAGTACTAATTCAACAGTGAAAAATACTTTAACCTTACAAGTAGAAACTCTCTATTCAAAGAAGTAAATGCCTACAAAGTATTATCGGCAGTCAAGTTAACAAATGAAAAGTAAAAGTACTCGGTCTGCTTAAAAATGGCTCGGGAGAAAGATGGAAATACTTCTGTTGAATAAATATGTATAAATATTATATATCGTATAGGAAATTAATCCATCTGGGCAACATGAAGGAGAACAAATATTTGTGGGGTTACTGCTAACATCTAAAACATGGTAAGGGGTCCAAAGTAGACACTGGGGTCAAAAAGGCTGGTTTTAAAAATGTGTTTTATAGCTTATCGTTGCTTTACATTTGAAAAGTACATTTCTGATGACTATGGTAGAATAAAGACAACAATATTTCTATGTGAAATACAGTGGAGTAGAAGTACAAGTCAAGTACACATTCTTCTGTAGTGAAGTGTTTAATTAAAGGGACTTTGTTCTCAGTTGTTATTAAGTCACAGAGTTAAGAATAAACCTTTTGACTTCAGCCAGCTTGGACTCTTCTGCTTTGATGTACTCCCTCAAAGACTGGACCAGCTCCTTCTCTGTGTGGATCAGATCTGTCATCTGACCTGCGGAGAGCGAGACAGACGGTTTGTGTCGGAGGTTAAGAATTAATCCACCAATTAATGATGGTAGTATATATTTGTTCTGGCTTATTGAACTTCACAGTGTGAGTGTTTCTGTTTTTGCTGCTTTCTGCCTTTGTGCTTTAAAACCTATAAAATGTATTTTTGGTCACTGCTCTTTGCCTCAGCCACAGACTCTGGGGATCTGATTGTATGTTGTTCCACAGGGAGCTGGTTGTGTGCATAGTAAACAACTCTTCACGTTCAGCCATGATTAATTCCTACGAGTTGCCAGGGAAGAGAAAGTATGAAACACTTTGTTTGTGTCATGTCTAAAACCGACCGGCCAAGTGGAGTCGATCATTGAAACTTAAGTGACTGCTTGACTCATGAGATGCAGCCTGTCTACTGATGTGGTGCTAACTGTGTATGTAAGCACTTTGTGTTAATCAGTAATTTTGTCTGGCATATGAGATGAAGCAGGTAATTGCATAAAACCTAAAGAAGCAGTTTATCAGATTTCCAGGCTCTTTTCTTTTATCCTATTTGAAGTGGAGGCATCTTAATCTTGCAGAAATCATCTCACATACAGTATTTGACAAGACGAATCCATGGACCACAACAATCTATCTTTCAATTTATTCAGTGCACCTCAAAGTTGATCCTTCTGTACTCTTTGACCCGACTGTGTCAACGTGAATTGTATCAAAGAACCAAGTGTAAACTGGAAGCAGATAAATGACCTAATTTAACAAGGAAAGAATAAGTTAATATATAAACGTACCTATGGATGTGAAGATCTCTGCCTGTGTGATGCAGCAGCAGAAGCAGAGCAGAGCCCAGGAGGTGAAACACAAGGATTTCCTCATTCTTTCTTTTTCAATAACCTGCAAAGAGAAACAACATCACATAGTCATGCAGTCTAAATAAAATAATCCTCCATAGCAAAACAGACTCATCTCCAACACTCTTCATGTCAAGCTGTGAAAAGGTCCGGCTGTCACCAGATTTTTTCCATGTCCATCCCTAATCTGGTCTGGGCTTTGCTTTGAATGCTTAACAAACAGTTTTCTGATCCCACAAAACGTAATAATGGGTTTCTGTACTGAATCAGCTGATGGTGTAACAATATTCAAAGTTTCCAGTACATTTCCTGTGAATGAGTCACTAATGTCTGCTGCCTATTTGTCAAAACGAGGACAGTGCGGAAAATAATGGTGTTTTTTGTCTGTTTCGACATTAACACCTGGCAGACTCAGACTTATTCTTTTATATGGTAAAATCAAAACATCTGCTTTTAAGTTGTTTCTGCTCTTGTCTGGAGTTCAACGTGGCCTCCAATTACCTAATATAAATGTTCATGACTAAATAAATCCAAGCTCACACTGCAGAACCTCAAAAGTAATTCACTTTCAAAATGTCAACCCAAGCACAACTGCATGACATTTATAGTCTTAAATAATCATTAGAAAGTCCCTCAACAGCTCTGCAAAGAACATTGTTTCCATGTTTATGATCGTCCTGCCAGAAGTTGCCTTCACTGACATCCATCCTTTCAAATGAGTGATGGTGGAATCTGGGGCGAAAGGCAGATACAACAACAGGGCTGAAAAACAAGACGACACAAAGATGCATCACGTGGCAGGAACTCAGTCCTGCACTCAGACCTGCTTTGTTTGGTCCTTTCAGATGAAAAGAGACGCTGCTCCACTTTCTCTTTATGGGTATTCTGCTTTACCACATCACTTCACCGTAATGACTGCTTACTGCAGGCTGAGTGCACGTCCAGTACATACACGCCTCCGAATACAGGCACACGTGCACAGTTTCATCAGTATCTTCCAGAGGATATAATCAAAGGCTTAGTGAAACAGAGGATCTGAAGCAGAAAAGTGGTACCTTAAATGTTAGCGTGGCGGTGAGGAATCAAACTGTACTTTCACTCACAGGTCGACTTTCTATTAATGCTGCTAAAATAAATTACTACAAAATGAATGCATCGAGCAGAAACACTTGAGTTTTCAGTTTGAGCTTTAAGACGCAGACAAACCAACAAACTGTCAACATGTGACTTTTCCAGGAAAAACTACTTCAGGTTAAAAAGGTTCAACAACCACGCACTAATGGCTGCCATCTACTAGAATTTCATTTATTTGTGACAAACAGATGCTTGGAATGAGGTAAACGTCCAAGATGACTGCACCATGTGGCGCCAACAACAGTAGGTATTTGGCGAAGGGCTGTGAAATGACCTTAACACATACAGCAAGTGACTGTGAATTGTAATTCCACTTTCCAGTGTGTTACAGTTCTGCGGGTCTCGTTTCTTTAAAAACCATGTAATAAATCTTAAGAGGGATGAGAATGACTTGTTTTCAACATTTTCTTTCACTCTCTCTTTACTTGCTTGTTTACGATTACAGTTATTTGGCTTGATTATACCACTTTGGAGTGTGAGAGTCTGTGTCTGTATATTCAAACATTTCAGAATATAACTGGACCAAAATTCGCAGACTGACACATACTTTGTGTTACTTTTTGGCATTTTGTCAGCGCAGAAAAGTCGTCCTCTGTCCTCCACAGAGCTGTTCTGACATGTTGGGTGTTGCCAGCAGGGATGACAGGCGAACACGCTCACATACTCCACAGATGTGCAAATGAAGAATGTACATCTACATTTAAAATAAAACCAAGCATCCGTGAAAGATTGTTGGAGTGGAGTCGAAGAAGACTTATTTTATATAGAGTATGTGCCCCCCGGTAAAATTCTTTCAGAACACACTGATTTCAACTGAATAAAAAACTACTACAACATGCACCAAACTGTTCACACTATTCTAATCTCAGTCCTCTAAATGTACCAATGCATTATCTGCATTATTTCTTGAAAAATTCACAAAATATTGAAAGAGCATCATCTCACAATAATGAAAAATGTAGAAATGCCCTGCCCTTTCATCAAATCTGCTCCAACATGTATGGGGTTGGTTCCTTGGCCCGTAAAACATCGTCCCACGAAGATTCAATAATATCTGTACAGTAACTTTTGGATCATTCTGTTCAGATAAACATCAATGAGGACACGACCTCCTCGGGAGAAGTAGGTGACAGATATTAATACTGACTGACACAGAGTATGTTAAATACACAATAATTATTTGTGTTTGATTTGCATTTGATTTGACATAAAATATTTCCAGCCTTAAATCAATGTTATTTCCTGTATAATTGAGTTTTTCTTTTATACCAACTATACATCAGAACCATTGAAAAATACCCCACAGATTTTAGTGTTACTTCCTTCACTCTCAAATGAGGACACACCTTAAAAATCTTAGGGAAACTTCTTCCTATTAGTACGTATTCAGTTTCCAGCGTGTGACCTAGAAATGCTTTCTGGTTCATTCAATGATAGCCAGCCTATGCACCCATTACCAGAGTCGGAAACTACAGCAAAACAGTCAAACCTCTCTCCTATAATTTACAGTCTGTGTGATCACCAGGCTCAAACACGGTCTTGTCTGTTGTTGCAGGCTGCAACTACCAGGTCACATTCCTGGAAAGGGGCCTGTTCCATTTACTGCCCAACGTTCCCCCAGTTTTGACCCTCGCCTGGTGTTTCTGACAAATGTGGGGAACAACACTGAGGAAAACCGGACAGGTGTACTCTGTGGAGGTAATACACTCATTGAACCTGATGATGCTTTCACAGAGAATCAGCTTTGTATCAAAATCTGGGTCAAAAGAATAATGTCACCAGATCACAGCCTCGAGAAAATCTGATATTTCCACACAAAATATTTAGTTTTATTTCTAAACATGGAGGCGTGGTTCAAGCGGAGAGATAAGGATCCAGAGAAACACACTCAGCAGTCAGGATCCAAGGTCTGTAACGGGGCAGGGGTGCACAAGTTTACTAAGGGAATCAAATCTCCAACATCTGTGGTTGTCTTGTTCTTCTGCTCTGCTGGATCTTACTCAACAACATATCCAAGCAGAAGAACTGGTCCGAGCAGCAGCTGCCCTGGCTCACACAACTTCCAACTGTATGCAGAAGTTATTAAAACGTCTCCCTTCTTTGGTTTTGAGGGAAAACATCGTTTAACATCGGCCAAAACAAAAGGATCAAGTCCATTTCAGAAAACATCTTGGTAATAAAACCTTCTCAAAATCCTTCTCATCCTTTTTTTCCCCAGACAGCGACACAAACCAGGGCTGATGTGAGCAGGGGAGCGTTGTCAAGACAACTAAAGCATTCGTCTGATATTGCTGCACAAAAACTATTTCACGTTTTTTTTAAAGGTTTATTTTTACCAACTAAAAATACATTTGCGAACAAAATATTAAGGAATATATCAATGTGCAGGATATGGGACAGGAAAAAAGATTAAGGAAAAAGAAAACAAATAAAGACGAGGATGTGACTTTCATTGGCAGAGAATAAGGAACTGCAGCCTGGTTTTCGAGGGATTAAGCACATCACTGGAAATGAAACTGATTCAATCAGATAACATGTTCACAAAAAGTCATGACCCTGTATACTCAATGTTTCCCAGAGAAAAATATGGAACTATTCAACTCACACAGCTGACGAAGCTACACTTCAACAAACAAAGGGTGGAATCATGTTGCTTGGTGTTTTTTTCTGAGGTATCATGGAAGTTCTTGTTTTGACATTCTAGCAGCGAAGGCCAAGTTCCAGTATTTTAACAACAAGCAAGAAAGCAGCCATCTACAGATAACGGAGAATCAGAGCCTGCGTTGAGATGCAACTGGCCACTGCCAGAAAATGGGTCACCTGTGAGAATGGGAAATCAGAACAGTTTTCCAAAAACTCGTGGACGACACCGCTGATGGAGGAGTGTATTGATAGTTTTTGTTTGATGGTATTTCCGTTGCCTTTGTTAACTTGGATTTTTATAAATGGATCCTGGAGATCGCTGCATAACCTACTGCAAATCAAACACTAAGAGTAATGTTCCAGACTGTAGGCTTTGCTGGCAACATCATGACATTTTGAAGAAAGGCTGAGAAGTTTGCTTTGACTTTCACTTCCTCTACACATCACAAGTGCAGAATGAGGAATAAGAAGACGAGCATTTCCCTCACAGTTCAGCTGACCCTGTGCATTAGACAGTAATGGAATGAAGGAATGTTTGTAAATCTCAAGCAACAGCAGAACACTGACTCAAGATCTCGCCAGATTTCTGCTGACCATGTGTGTTTGACATCAAAGTAAAATCTGTCTCAGAGCCAACGAAAAGCTAAAGAACATCTGAGGCTACGTTGCTATTAAAATAAATTATATAATCATCTAAGCAATCCGATGTGTGTGCGTTAAAACCTGTAATCTATAATGAATCACCGCTGCTAATCATCTTGAACTGGTAGAAGAGTTTGTCCAAATATTAGTTTAACAAAAGCAAACGTCCATATGGACACAAACACACAAGAGTATACACAGATGATCGACTTCCAAACACATCTCCTGATATGTACTCGCTTAAGAATCATACAAATAATGTTAAATTAAACAAAAAGCATAAATGTTGGAATAGTATCAAATGTTTAGTTTCAATATTTATGATAAAAAGACAACAGCAGACTGGACACGAGGAAAAGATTGTTGATAGGGGCGATCAAGGGTTTAGTATTTCATAAAACTTAATAAAGATGCTCTAAGTTCCACCTGCATGTCGTACATCATCCGCTGCGTCCGCTCCACCTGCCTCCACAAACACTGCTGAGAGATTTATGACATCCCTCCATTTGCTCCCAGCTCACGTTAACCAACAATCCAACGGCTGCCATCTACAATTACTGCCATTATCACCTGTTCCGGTCTCCTGCTGAGCCTGCAAGACTTCACACTGGGACCGTGTAGCTGTCCCATCCTTCCCAGGGTAAACAAAACCTGCGTGTTGTCTTTTGGAGCTTTTTACTGAAACAATAACTTTTTTGAAATGTGTGTGAATGGAAAACAACTGAACTGTAAAGCGCCATTAAGATTATAAAAGCATAAATGTCCTCTAACGGAAGAAGAGATGCTACTGCGAACCCATGGGCGTGAGCTTTTGTGCAGTGTGTGTGTGTGTGTGTGTGTGTGAGAACATGAACATGGCTCCAGAGGAGGACATCTGAGTGTGACACCACAGGAGCAGAATGGAGGCGTTTTAAGTTTCTGCTGTTGTTTTTTTTTACACTTGAAGAAGTTACTTCAACTGTTTTGGATTTGGCTGCAACACTGTTGAAACTCTTGTGACTCAAACACTTCACCCACCCCTCTACACCCCTCTACACCCCTCTACCCCCCTCTATACCCCTCCACTCACAGTGAAGTGAAGTTTCATTTCTCAAGTTGGAAGCAGTTCCATAACTACAGATTTGTTTTGTCTTTTGGGGGAAAACACTCAGAATCTGACTTTGACTTCAGGGGTTGTATAAACCTGGAGCTGAGCAGCAGCAGCAGCAGCAGATCTGTGCAGAGGCTCATCCTCCTCCTCTGTCCTCAGCTGGACAGCCGCCGGGCCGAGTGACGTCAGCTGAGGACAGTTGTTTCTAGAACTGTCGAACACTTGACCACATGTGCAAAGCTGCAGGTTTACTGGGACAGATCACACATGTACACCAGTGTGAACCAGTGTGAACCAGTGTCAGCGCCTGGTTCAGACAGCGAAGGAGAAAAAACCCAACAACATGTGGAAGTTTCAGAACTTTCTGCTGCTCTGTGGGACAGAGGGACCTCTGTCTCACGTTCCTGTGCAGCGAACATGTCGGAAATAAACACACTCGTTATTTCCCCTTCACGTTCACACACACACACACACACACACACACACGTTCACACACATCTGCTCCTCTCTCTGAACCGGTTCACGTCAAAGTAAAGTCCTGTTGGAGACACTTATTGACAAACCATCCCATCATGTTCGGCACGCGAGCTCAACGTCTCCAAACCGGGGACGTGCAGAGCCGCTTTGACGCTAAATACGCGCACCATTGAACGCGTTCTTACCGGTACCGTCCCGGGACCGTGGGCAGCGACGACTCTCGGTGTCTCGTCCGCGCAGTTGGAGTCTTCAGCTCGAGGGAACGAGCAGCACAGAGAGGGTCTTCACCCGCTGCCACGTACAGAGCCTCCTGCAGGGAACACCGTAATACTCCAAAGAAACGCGCAGACAGCATTCCTCGCTGGGGTTCACTGCGTTGCCTTCACGTACACCTTGTACATTACGTCTCTTTAGTCTCGTGCACACAAGTTATAATCGTGTGGGATCAAATTACTATTAAGATGTTTATTTGAAGAGGATGTTGTGTGTTTGAATGACTCCACCAGATTTGTACCGTAGCCTGGAGAAAACCATGGCTGATCAAGTTTTATTTGCACCTGGGATATAAATTCATGTTGCTCTTGTGAAGAGACGCAGGATTGCCAGGAATCATTTGCTGCACATGTTGAAGGACAACGTTTCAATCATAATAATACTGGAGAAAATAACTCTTAAAAGTTACAAACACAACTTGGTGTTGTCCTCAAAGCACGGGCCAGTCCTGTCTTTACTGTGCAGATATTAACCCTGTGTGCACAACTTGTTCTTCAGGGGCTTCTTACATTCAACTTTGCACTCAACAATATAGGACTAAATTTGTCCCATATTATCAAGCACCAGTGATACAGTGTTAAATTGCAAATGCACTGGGCAAATAGAGAAAGACAGCCATACACAAATCTTTTGTAATTTAATCATAGGAATGTGTGCACAGTGTACTTACAAAAATAGAAATACAATAAAAAATATACTACAAAAGGCTAGCAAAATAAACATGAGTACTATGAACGAATTGAAGAGGACACCTGAATGAAAAATGGGAGCAATGCACATTTCCTAATTGACCGTAGTCTATCTGCAGTTCTAGTCACCCACCTTACCCACACCTATTCCACACACTAATTATTAGTCCTTCATTTTGCTTAATCTATTATAATTTATTCTTAAACAATTTTTGTTCAACTAGAAGAAAAATTAAGCACTTGTTTTATGATGAGCTCAGTTCCTCTAACATTTTCTGACCTGCACAACATTTAGATTTTTCAACATCCATGAAATCGGATGTAATTTGTGTGAAAATAAAATGAAATAAATCTTGTGAAATACAGGAACAAGGTAATTCCTCAGCAGTACAATGAGCCTCTTAACATTGATGGCTGCAAATCTGTTTTTAATTTTCAGTCTCTTGACATGAGTTGGTTTGTTCAGTAAGAATCTATTTCAGATGTGACAGTGTAAAGGGTTAAAAGGGTCAGGCTTTACCATTCTGCAACCTTTTACAATAGTTACGGTAAAGTAATCCATGCAGTCCGTCACGTTCACAGTAGATTTCTGTTTCCAGGGCTTGTTCTCTGGATGGACTGAATTCAACGTGTTCACACATAATTTGATGGAAATGATCAAATCTCGAAAATGTGTTATTCAAAAGATTCTCAAATTAGATCACGTCCCGTAATCCAGTTTGTGTTGTGATCTGGGTGAAACCTGCAGTGTGAGTTCAGATCATTTTCATCAGAAAACATCCTGATCCAAGCAGAAAGGTGGATTTCAGTAACAAAATGTAATTCAACTTTCAAAAGTGGTTTAATAATTCAACATTCATATTTTATGTTAATATGCACGGGCAGATTTAGTTATTTTTTACATTTGATTTGACCAACGACACTAATAAGAGTAGATTAATTATGAAATAAGCTAGAAAACAGGTCTGTGAGTTTTCACTGTGTGTGAATACTAATATACAAAACCACCACAGATGAACGTCACTCATTCTGTGAGAACCGTTCGTTCAACAAGCTCATGAACATCATGAGGATCGTCAGAGTGTGGGACATTGGACCTGATGGATGTTGTGCAAAATGTTTTGCTGGAGCCGGACTCTGTTACGTGTGTGGGAGGCTGGGACACATCTGATGAAACACCCCTGTTCATTGCAATATACACTTGCATCATCCTAACAGTAAAATAACATAACATAACATATTTTAGCTGATGATATGATGAGTTTTTTTGCCACAATGTTCACTGATAGATTTTTATTATTATGTTATTTAATAACAATAATCAAGATTTCATTGATGATATGGTGCATTGCATATGTCGTCATTTGACTTGTCATAATTTTATAAGTGGGCCAATACGTTTATCTGTTTTCTGTTAAACAATGTATTCCATTTATATTGCTGAGAAGTTTGTGCAACATGACGTTTGTAAAGTGGTTTAACCAGAAGGTGTCAGCGTGGAACCAGTGAAAGATTTCCATCCCCAAAACCCATGAACACAACTTTTAGTTGAAACACTTGATGTTTAATCTTTGTTCCTTCATTGCAACATTCCTTTGAAAATCCACAAGCTTCAAATCTTTTTTAAAATCCGTGCACATTTTCCCAAGAGCCTGAATGTTCTTGTTCCATTCCTTCAACATCATGACTCATCATTACTCACATGGAGAGGAGGCGCATTATGTTTGACGACAATAGCTGACTATCTGTAAGTAACCTATTTTCACCCTGCCTACAGCATTAATATTTCTCCATATGTATTCACACTGTTTATCAGCATTTACAGGCAAAGCAAGCAAAGTGCCAACTCACACTTCACTTGTGTAAGAGATGACTGATGTGTGAATGTTGATGAAACGTGTTTGGAAAAGCTCAATTTCCAAATGGATTCAAATATTTTAACTACATTATTGACAATATATATATATAATCAATTCCATTTTGAAGTGTCTTCATATAAAAAGAGATTTGTGGATGTTTTCCCACATTTTGACATTGTGGGAAATGAGATTTGATTTGTAACACTAACAATGCTGCTGTTCTCTTTTCTTCAGCATGCGCAGTAACATTTAATAAGATGTTCCTTTTCCAATTCTCACGTCACCATGAGCAGTACATTTTCTTGGAGTGTGATAGTTTGTGCTAAGATACTCTGCGACACATTTTATGTTTCTCATTTTATAATAACACAGCAAACCCTGTCTTCTGTACTCATGTTTTTTTTTTTTACCATTTCTCAATTTGTGTTTTGTTTGTTTTGCTTGTGGTAATCTTCTTTTCTCACTGTGCTGAGTGTGTATACAGTGGTTTCATTTACAGGGCGTGAATTGACTGTTGTGTTGACACCAGAGATCAGCAAAACACGCAGTACGGCTTCAGATCTTCATTTATTGTTTCATTATTATTATCTTATATATTTTTACTGAAAATTAACTAATCAATTAGTTCCTATTTAACCTGTGGGGAGGGTTAATTTGTTTTCAAGGTTACAATCCATTGTTTTCATGCAGTTTACACTTTAGCCAACAGATGTCAGTCTTTGCCCACTGCTCGTTCAACATTTAAAGGTCCAGTGTGCAAGATTAAGGTGAAAGTGATCTATTGTCAGAAAATGAGTATAAAATAATCCTAGTGGTGTTTTCACAAGTGTGTTTCACATACATTTTACAAACGTTGTTTTCTTTACACTACAATGGGCTCTTTATATTTAAATACTTTATATTTACGTCAGGAGCCATGTTTTTTACAGTAGCCCAAACTGGACAAACTAAACACCTTTTGGGTTTTATGACAAATGAAGTTACCACTGGTTCTATTTCATGTTTGATAAGATAAGATCATCCTTTAATAATCCCACAGTGGGTATTTGCAATTTTACAGCAGCAAGAGTCAAAAATAGGCATCAATAAGTAATAATGAGTAACATGCAATACTTAAGTGCAAGGATAAAAAGACTTGAGTGTCAGGAAATATAAAAAGTATAGAAACATGTGAAAGGGGAGGGTGAGGTGAGGGATATTCAGCTGCAACATGCAACTTACCCACTAGATGTCACTACATTTTACACACTGTCCCACATACAGAAGCCTATTCCACTGTGTTGCAGAACAATAAAACTTATCATGAATCCGGTCTTGTTGACTCAAAAGGGCGTCTCTGCTCTTAGCTAATCACAAAGCTATTTTTGGTTTCCGTGCTGTTGAGGTGAAAGAAAAACACATGGACCATCAGGTCATTTTCACAGGTAAAAAAACTGTGATTTAGTAATTATATTGCTGGAACTGAATGTCTGGCATGTCACAAATCTTGACATGCAGACACCACTCACACAGACGTAAACAAATTGTTGAACAGAGGGAAAGAATGTTTTCTCGTCTCTTGATGAAAGGTGTTGGCCTCATTGTTTTGTGACATCAGCACTCAAAATAGGTTTTCTGCCTGGAGTCAGTGTCATCATGTTTTAGAGGCTCACGTGTTTACAAAGTGACAACAGAAAACAAAGCATCTACTTGTGCCCGTGCATTAAGGTGAGGTTAAGGTTTTCCAGATGTTTCAAATGCTTCCTTACTTTAAGCCCCCCGCTCGACTCAGGGCGGTGAGTCGTGCATCCGAGAGGCCACAAGGTCAAAAATGCCCCCTTACTTTGCAGGGCCGAGTTAAACACACACAGAGACAGTGTGGTTCATGTACATGTGAGATGTGAAGTGTGCTTTCTCTCTGATGTGCCACCTGACCTCTTGCTCGTGTGTGAGCCCCGAGTGATTGAAGGTGAACACACACGGAGCGAGTTTTGGGTTTCAGACGCTTTAATCAAACCTCATCAACTGAGCTCAGGGGCTCTGACAGTGACTCCGGCAGTTATTCTCTACCCTGATGGGAGTTTAAATAGCACAGCAAGACGCAGAGAAAACAATTCAGCAAGCGAGTGTCCGGTCCAGTGGCTCCAACCAGGTAATGAGGCAGAAAAGATGACAGTGGAAGCACAATGGAGGGATCCACTCTGATCCACTCTGCTGAGCGAGGGGGAGATTTCACATGATGTGATTTTCTGTGTTTATGTTCTGACAACACAGGTAGAGACGCAGATTTTTCGGTTGATCATAAAATGTCCTTAAATTATTAGTGCAAATTTTGTTGTGGTTTCTCTCTTGCTGTGTATGTTTGTGTATGTGTGTGTGTGTGTGTGTGTGTGTGTGTGTGTGTGTGTTTGCTCGTGCCAGGCAATGACTCAGGCCTGCATCACCAGAGGATTGGGTAACATGAGTTGTCTGTCAGCGCAGACAAAATGAGCCCCCCCCCGGGACACAAGAGACAAAGTGTTGCTCCCACCTCACTGATGTCAAATGTTATTTGGAGGAAATCCT